AAATAAAGGTAAAATATCGTTTTAATAATAATAATAATAATAATACCCCATAATAATCTGCTGCTCCGGGCTCAGACGCAATAGACAGTGCTCATCGATATATAAATTTATATCCTACATAAACCTCGGTCGTTTGGTCTTCTTTGCCGAGAGCTAACGTTTGGTTGAGTTTCCTATTTATTTAATTATGTTTCATCGTATTTATTCTATTAAGTATATAGTTAATTTTAATTAATTTTTTTTATATGTTAAAGTTTATAGTAAATATTTATATATTTTAAAAAAATTCGTATTACGTGCTAAGAAGCGAGGCACCGCTCTCCCTACCCACGGTCGAAACTTGGTTGGCGGCGGAGCCAAAGATCAGATCCGCCGCTGTGGTCGGGAAAGCGGGTGCTACCGAGCAAATTAATTCAGTCATTTTGTTAAAGCCTATCAAAAGTCTACTGCTGAACATGGGCCTCGGTGTTTATGTAAGGCTGGGTATTTTACAGTAACAAACACCTAATGTCCTAAGATACCTTTAACTTTTAAATAAAATGTAGGAATTTAAAAATAGGTATAAGTTGAAAGCAATAAAATCCGTAAAGTTGTATTTTCCAACGTAGAGTATTGTATTTTTTATTAAAGAAAAAGAAGACTAGGTTTTTCTTGTGGAAAATTAATAAAGAGACGACTTCTCGCATTTAATATTGGAATATATTGGTTCGCGTTTTCGGCGAAGTTTATCGAAAATCGGTAGACGGAAGCAATCCCTTTACAACGTTTATCAACTTCTCCGGCGTAAAAAGCCCGGGACTTTCAATTTATACGGTTTAATAATATTGCTTTATTTTTGACGTTATATTTAGTAATTTAATAACATATGTCGCAGCTTTAGACAAGCTAAAAGGATTGCCGACAAGCAGAACAATCCTTGTCCGCAATATACTGTCGTATATACCATATACAACTTTGTTGAGTCATATATCACTATCAAAAGTCCATTACTGAACATAGGCCATCCCACGTTTTGTTTTGTCACGTTTGGCAGATAGATCGGCAACCGCAGCTTTATTATTTTTAGTTAATATTTAGATGACTCAGCTGCCCATCTTCTGATCTCTTACGTTCTGTCACCTTACTACACCCACTTGACGGTAATGAGTAGTGGATATTTTACACCACCACTACAAGGTCATTCATATTCAGGTTAAGTGCCTTAATTGCAACTGGATTTTCTCTTAACGAATATTTAAATAGTACAGCTAGTCCCTTGTGCGAGGAAGAAGAAACAGCGGCTCACGTTGTACTGGAGTGTTTGGAGGTGGCCAATTACGGTAATGATACCTGGAATCCATCAAAGCGGTCATTAGCTATATATCCTATGCAACCAATAAAATTACCTCACATATCTCTTCCCCGTTTGGCTTCAGTTGGGACGATTCAAACGGAGGAGAGAGAAGATGTCTCATATGTGCATGACGCGATCGAAACGGAGATGTGAGATGAGCCTCGTAATCGAAAAGCTGCATGCTTGCGAGACGAGAGATCTCTTGACTTCGGTGTGAACCCACGGGATAAAATGGGGTGAAGGATACTCATCATCGTAATTAAGCTCGAAAAGTTACAGTAAAGAGTTAGATTCCAGCCTCCCTAACAAGCCGGTTTCCGAAAATACTTTAGCACCATAGACCACATACATACCCTTCGGTAAATTGTACAGAAGAGCGAAGAGTGCAATCTGCCACTTTGTCTTGTGTATGTGGACTAAGAGAATGCCTTTGATTTCGTCGAAATTGGGGCGGTGCTGCAGTCCCTTAAGCGTCACGGTAAGGCTACGAATCAGAGTACGAAAACTATCTAACTGCAGAGAGGTGTAAGACAGAATAACGTGATATCTTCGAAACTCCTCATCGCTGCATTCACGCTGGATGACGTTTTCAAGCTACTGCACTGGAAAGATACGGTATTAACGTCAATGACACATTCGATTCGCCGACGATATAGTCGTCATGGCAGAATCACTGGAGGACCTAAGCACTATGCTCAATGACCTAAATAATGTCTCCCAACGGATAGGTCTTAAGATGAACATGGACAAGACAAAGATCATGTGTAATGTCCATGTCACACATATGCCGGTAGTTGTTGGGAGCACTAAGCTCGAAGTTGTTGACGAGTATGTTTACTTGGGACAAATAGTCCAACTAGGTAAGTCCAATCTCGACCGAGAGGTCAATCGATGGATTCAACTCGGCTGGGCAGCGTTCGGGAGATTACGGCACATCTTCTTGTCAGCTACACCTCAAAACCTGAAAACAAATTTGTAAAACCAGTTCGAATTGCCAGTGATGACTTATGGATCTGAGACGTGATCCTTTACTGCGTCGTATGAGAATGCTCAAAGTCGCCCAGCGAACTATGGAGAGGGCTATGCTCCTGGTTCCTCGGCGTGATAAACTTAGAAATGAGGATATCCACAGTAGAACCAGAGTAACTGACATAGCCCAACGGATTAGTAAGCCATATAGCTCGAAGAACCTACCACCGATGTGGAAGAAAGGTTGTTGAGTGGAAGCCTCGTACCGGCAGGTGAAGTTTAGGGCACCCCCCACTAGATGGAGTGACGACCTGGTAAGACATGCAGGAAGTCGATGGATGCAGGTGGCTCAGGACCGTGCTTTGTGGCATTCTTTGGGGGAGGCCTATGTTCAGCAGTGGACTTGTGAAGGGCTGTAATGATGATGATGATGAAATTAAACTTAAATGAATAAGTGACAAATCTAAGGTGATTAATGAAGTACATAATGCGTAACAAATGGAAAGGTGATGTGACAAAGCCAAATTATAACACTAAAACGGCAAACCAAATGTTGTCAATTTGTATGCTGATTTCTATCCCGTGTCACAAAATGTCGGGCAATAACGTTTTATGTCGCGATTGCGTGAGGCGTAAATCACTGAAATTGGACATTTTGTATTGGAGGACATGTAAGTATATGTATGTGTTTTGCTCCTTTCCCACAATTTAGTAGTTTGGTATCTGGCGAAAAAGATCGCACTTATAGAATCTTAACATTTCTTTTTATAGGATAATGTTGATGAACGAGCACACAGTCTACCTGATCGTAAGTGGTTGCTGTGGCATCTACATCTATCTTCGTTTGCAAATCAAAATAAAGATGCGTTGTCGTCACAAAAATTGATATAAAGATCGAATGTCTCTTTTCCAGTAAAATGGGTCTCCGGTTCTCCACACTCACCATACAAAACACTGCAGCGTTAAGCTGCTATTAAACGCTGGTATTCTGTGAGAGCGTGGTCCTTCCGCGGTCAAGCCGACCCATTCGTGCTACAGCTTTACTACTAATATAGCTGCAGCATGGTTCTACCACATATAAAACCGTTTTCCATTTTACGATATCAAAATTATAATGACCATCTTACAGACATCTGACTCTGTTGTTTCTATCCCTTTGTTTTAAACCCCTCAACTGGAAACTACTTTCTTTAGTTTGAGTTGAGTAACAATGGCGCTGGCTTTTAAATTCATGCTTGATACAGAATTAAAGGCTCTCTGCAATTAAGACAATTATGAGGAACGCTACGAAAAAAGCTTTCTCATTAAGCTAGCTAGCTGAAAGGTACTTTAATTATATGTTTATAACTAGAAATTTTCCTCAACATAATAGCATAAAACGTATTATTGTAGTAAAATAATAGTTAAAGTATCATTAAATTGTTATTGATTAATACAACCGGTAATAATTATACATTATAAAAAGGACAACAGTTTTTTTAGTAAGATTTTGGCTTGGATGCTTGTCCTTTAAGCATATCTTAATTTATCTCACTATATACAGTACTCTATAGTACACTGCTTCACAATATGTTGATGCGTCACATAGCATAGTTTTTGGGAGATTTCAACGGCAACTTGAGCCAGCAGATAGTTGGCAATAGTATCTCAAGGCGCCTACGTAGACAGACACCTTATCTTGAGATTCACTATATACTTGTCTGAGATTCACTACATTCGGAACACTGGTTTTACATTTTCCACAAATAGCTCACATCCGCAGACATTTAATACACAAAATCGCATCATTTTACATATCAAAATCCACTTCAAACCATTATTTAAACAATAATACAGGAGTAGCAAGCCGCCGGCCTTCTAGTCTAGGTTTTGGCGGGACTAAAACCTCAAAAGGATTACAAAGGATGCTCATTCCCATTGATAATAAACCTAGCAAGCTAACAGCATAGCAAAGTGGCGAAGCAATCAGCTTTGTAGCGGTTTCTAACGGTTGCCGTTGAGCAATCAGTTTCAAAATAGGAGGTTCAGATGCCTGGGTAATCAGTAATCGATTGCTGAAAACAGAATTTGAAACTTCGAAACCATTCTCGAGATAATCGTGGGACAGACGGACAGACGAACAGACGAACAGACGGACAGACGGATAGACGGACAGACATCGTGAAATCAATAAGTGACTTCGCAAGCTTCGCCACTTAATAAATTTATTGACTCACCGTTTTTGTAGCGTCACAGTATGCGCCATTAAATTAATTTAAAAAAAATTGGACAAATAAAATTTGCAATTATCTATAGGTACACATATAAATAAAATTGAAGTATCTGTCTGTAATTTACTTACATGCCATCAAGACATAAGTTATGATATTAAAGTACCATTTTTAAAACTTTTGTCTCTCTTTCTGTTCGGACTAATCATCGGAAGTGAACAGGTAGAGAGCAATGCCAAGAGGGATCTAGGGTATATTTTATCTGAAAATCTTGCTTTCTTTTTTGAAAAAAAAAAACGAAAAATTAATAAAATAAATGGTCTTTGTCTATCTTAAATCTAAATAACACCAAATTGATAGATCCTATCCAGACGAAGACGGGGCGGGTTGCTAGCTTAAAATAAAAATGAAAATATTGTCTTAATTAATCATCATTATCATCAACATCATCATAATTAGGTTTGAAAAAAATCTTTAAGTATGTATACCTTACTATTACTGCGACTGGTTGTGTACCTGAAAAAAAAAAAACTTGGCATTAGATGTTATTCGTGACTGCGGGAAGTAATGCCAAATAAAATGCGTGTAAATTAATTTAACTGTAAAATAAATATAAAAACACTTATCTATACAAATAAATAAAATTGAAGTATCTGTTAGTAATGTCAAATTAACAGACTTATTTTTATAAAACGCACAAAACGCACATGAAAGTATATACGGTACTAATATCAAAAAATTAATTTTTAAATTTTTTTTCTATCTGTTTGTTCCAGCTATTCTCCGAAACGGGTGGACCAATTTTGTCGGGACCTTCACTGGCAGATAGTTGATGTTATAAAGAGTAACTTAGGCTACTTTTAGTTTAGAAAAATAATCAGATTTCTCCGCAAAAAAATTAAAATCCATGAAATCCAATCGCAATAAATTCCACTCGGACGAAGTCGCGGGGAACAGCTAGTCTACTCTATAATAACAAGCCCCTGAACTAGGTGTGGACTGTGTGCTCGTTTGTCACCCTTATTCTATAAAAAAACATACACACACACACACACACACACACACACACACACACACGCACGCACGCACGCACGCACACGCACACGGCCAAGCACAAGAACAAGCACACGTACACGCACATGCACACGCTTATGCACACACACGCACACGCACACGCTCATGCACCCTCATACGTACACGCACTCGCTAAAGAACACGCACTCGCATACGCATACTCGGGTGCGTACACACTCACACACACACACATACACACAAATACACACACACACACACACACACACACGCACACGCTCACGCACAAGAACAATCACACGCACACGCACACGCACATGCACACTCATACGTACACGCACTCGCTAAAGAACACGCACTCGCATACACGCACACGGGTGCGCGTACACACACACACACACACACACACACACACACACACACACACACACACACACACACACACACACACACACACACGCGCGCGTGCACGCACACGCACAAGCACACGAACACGCACACGCATACAAACATGCACACGCACACACATTCTCAAAATCGGACCGAAATCTCTAACTCCTTACTTTTGAAAATTATTAATTATCTAAGTCGGAAGTTAAATAAAATTGTGTGGTCTGCAGTAAGAAAGATGATGTACTTACAACATTTATTGGAGGAACGTGTTCGCTACAAAGCCGAAAGTATATTGATTTTCGATTCCCTGAATATTAACAACATGATTTGCATAATATATTATCTCAACCATCGTCTGAAAACGACGACGTCTGAGCTGAGTTTTGAAATGTAGATCGAGTGATTAAGCTGTACATGTTCTGTAGTATTGATAACGTGAGGTATGATGGCTCTGCCATATATTGTAGTACTAGACTGCCTCGTTAGCCTAGTGTTCGTAAACGCGTTTGCTGGTCACGAGGTCCCGGGTTTTGCCATAATCAGTTATTGATTTCTGTGTCAAGAAATTCCCTGTAGCAGTTCGAAGTTAAGTTGGAGGAGTTTTCACTCCCGTGCCCCGGAAAGCACGTAAAGCCATTGGTCCTGCGCCTGATCTCTTTCCAGTTGTGGTGGAATACCGTTACATCGGACAATTAGGGTGAGCTAATAGAAAGCGTATCTGTACTTGCGCATACATTTGTACACTATAATCTTGCAAAGTGGCTGGTCTCCGTTGAGACTGGCTGCCGTGACCGAAATTCGGTTTAGAGGACACTATTATATTATAGTATCAAAGTCCCTAAACTAAACAAATTAATAAATTATATATCTATACAAACAAATAAAATTAAAGTGTCTGTTTGTAATTTCAAAATTAAAGATTTTAACTAAATGTATATGAAAGACAATAACAAAAACACAATAATGTTTTCTTATATTTACGCGAACACTACACTTTGAATCAAAATACTTTTTACGTAAAAGTAGTTTTATTTAAAAACACAATATTTAAATTCTTTATCTGTCTGTTCGTTTGCTCCGGCTAATCTTCGAAACGGCTGGATCAATTTAGACGGAATTTTCACTAGCAGATAGCTGATGTTATAAGGAGTTACTTAGACTGATTTTATTGTTGAAAAATAATTAGGGTTCCGCTCAAAAAATTAAAACCATAAATTACACGCGGGCGAAATCGCGGGGAACAACTAGTTTATTTAATATTTAATTGATTAAATTTTATTCCTAAACGGGCAAACGAATGACCCCAAATCTACATGATGGTGACCATTGCGGTATAAGCACATTAGCTTATTCTTTTAAGCAGTAAGTATATATTACATAATACAATCTGTTCTCTGTGAACCGAATAATAGGTAAATCTGTATTACAGGGCTCCAGACCTTCCATATTGTAATAAGTAGACATTGGTACATTTAGAAGTAAAAGTTAAGTATGATTAATTTATACAGTAACATATAGTATATGGAAAAATATACTCAAATCTATATAGTACAAAATATGTAACGTGTTTGGCAGAAATGGTTAGAAGTTTTTCATGTTTTGAAAGTGTGGATATGCATGGATAATGAAATATATATGTATATTAAATAACAGAAATCAGAATTACAGTAATTAATTTTTTATATTAATAATAAACTAAAACAGTTAAATAATACGAAGTCGTTATTTCGTTACGACGTAAGTGAGTCAGCATATTATAGCGTTATAACCAACGTGGCCACGTTCTTTTGAGGTACGTGCATAAAATTGTACTTTTGTAGTTGGACTTTATTTCTCAAAAGTTTATGTCTGTTATCATAACACATAAAAGTAGCAGCTTTAACTATTGTATTCGAATTTATAGCTTCATCGTGCTTTATGTATATGCTTATTCTTTATAGCTGTTTTAAATAACAACAAAATAGTCTCGTATAATACGGCCGTAAATACTCCTATAACTTCACATAAGCAAATTAACTGATACAGTATTTGCATATTATTTTTATTTGTTATTTTTATACAACTGAAGTAACTAACAAACGTACACTCCACTTAATGGCGGCCACTGCAGTCCATCGATATATGCGGCAAACTTCAATTGAAGAAAGATACAGAATACAGAATACAGTAAGAAGATACTTCACTATCTTAACCTTAGAAATCGTGTCATTTATATATGTATACATTCGTATTTTATGTCTTTATTTGTTATTTATTTCTTTATATTACTAGCTGTGCCCCGCGACTTCGCCCGCGTGGAATTTACTACGATTTCATGGATATCAATTTTTTGCGTGGAACCCTAATTTTGTTTTTGAGTAATGTTACCATCTTATAAATATTGACAAATATTGACATTAATATTTATACGATACTAACGTCGCTCAATTGTTTTGCCTTCCCGGAACCCCTCCACTAACACTTAAACTTTATCGTATGGTATTAAAGTACAAATTGACTTTTAAGTATTATTACGAATCTTTTGTAAGGGAATATAGAAAACTGTGGTTTTTAGATTTTTTCAGGCATTTTTTTTTAAATTTTCTCTACGTAAGAACCATCACCGTACTTCAAGGAATATTATAAAAAAAATTTAGTGAAATCGGTTCAGCTGCTCTCGAGATTTGCGCTTAGCAACACATTCAGCGATTCATTTTTATATTATAGACATGAAAATATTTATAAATATTGTTTCTGCATCACCAAACTACACAATTTACTGCTTTTCCATCCAAAGGTTGTCTGGAAGAAATTGCTTTTAGCGAACCATTGTGGCATTATTTTTTGTCTTTTTCTTTCGTTTATATATTGTTTTAGTGTACAATAAAGAATTATCTATGTATCTATACTATGTGGTAGGACTCTATTATATCTATATTTTATATATCTATATTTTGTCTGGGTAGATACCACTTTTTTAAAATGTAGATGTCTATGTGCCACAGCATTCACTTATCATCAGATGGATTGTGTGTTCATTTAACACCCATAGTGGATAAAAAAACCTATTTCTGCCGCCAAATAGCGGTGCATGCTTTGCTGTGTTCCAGTATGAAAAGTCTATACTTTTCAGACTGGAACATAACTACAGGTGGTAAAACATTCCATTTTAGTCTTCAAATGGTCCAAGGCACCCGTAGCCTTCTTATAAAGTTGGCTATTGGTGTTCTTGGACGGCAATAGGTATTAACCCTCATGTGGATTATAAGTACGTTTGTCATTGCGGTTTTATAGAAAAAAAATTATTAGGACAAGTTTTAATCTATAAACCGTTTAATAGTTTTCACATATTTCATTTAAATAGTAGTCCTTCTCATTTCAATTTCAAGTATGGGTAACTTAAAATGAGAGCTCAACAAAAACATATTTAGCTTTTTGTGCAACACTAAAACACTACAATCAGGGAGTGTTACAAAACTAGTTCCAAGCAATAATAGCTTTACATTTTGTTGGTAAATTAAACAGAGCAAACTCAGAAAAGCTATCCAGTTATATACCGACTTCAGAAAGCAGCCGGTACTCAATTCGACGATGTTTTTTTTTATATGTGTGTTATCTCATAACTTTTTACTGGGTGAACCGATTACGATGATTCTTTTTTTATTTGAAAGCTGGTGCTTCACATGTGGTCCTATATAAATTTAACCAAGGTCTGACTAATTTTTTGTGTTATTCTTATTAATTTATATTGAATTCGGTTGTACAAAATTTTTAATTTTAAATTATGTTAATATATTTTGCTGTTCTGATTAAATTTTATAAGCTGTATCCTACACTATTATACGAGACATTGTTTTTATATTTGATTGTTTATTTGTAGTCGAGTTTTCGAAAACGGTTCTAACGATTTCGATGGAATTTACAATAAAGGGGTTTACGATTGGCGAAAAACTGTCCACTTACGTAACAACGAAGCTGTGAGTCATGTACAAAGCAACAAAATTGACTTGCTCACGTAATATGAATGGTAGTTACACCAGAGATGATCATCTTAATATTCGATATATTAAGATGAGATACGATTCTTTAGTTCGAATCGTGCAATGTGGTAA